CCCGTTTCTTGGCGCTGCTGCGGCCCTTGTCGGCGCGCCGGTACGGGTTGTTCCGCAGGTCTGCCGGGAGAAAACACGGAGCATCAGCCGGTTCCCAGCAAAGAAGCCGGGAATGCTCCCACCCATCCCCAAGGAGGGACCGGGTCGCTTCTCCCTGCCACCACCCAGCCTGGCTAGGGCACCAGGATGCCCAAGGGAAGCAGCAGTGGCGGCCCCCGGAACCCCACAGGCCCTGGAGCCTCCTGCCCCCGCCGGCACCCGCTGGACGAGCCGCCCCACGTTACCTACAGGCACTAGAGGGAGAAGCCGGGAATGCTCCCACCCATCCCCAAGGAGGGACCGGGTCGCTTCTCCCTGCCACCACCCAGCCTGGCTAGGGCACCAGGATGCCCAAGGGAAGCAGCAGTGGCGGCCCCCGGAACCCCACAGGCCCTGGAGCCTCCTGCCCCCGCCGGCACCCGCTGGACGAGCCGCCCCACGTTACCTACAGGCACTAGAGGGGACTCTCCTCTGTGAAGCTCACGTCGCAGAAGAGCCGGGACGAGCGTTTGCCCGTCCGGGCCGTGAAAGGAACAGTTTTCAGAGCTGAGCAGAGCAACCCAGAGAGCCAGCGAAGAAGAGGAGGAGGAGGAGGAGGAAGAAGCAAAAGAGGAGGAAAGAGCGATGAGGGCAAGCAGAGTGCGCTGGTGGCCCAGCGCTGCGGTGGGAAGGTGCTGCACAGGAATGTGACCCCCAGGAAGGCTCCTGCACCCCAGGGTGCCCCAGCCTGGCCCAGCCCCTCACCTGAGATAATGTCCTCGATGGCGCCATCTTTCCCTTCGTAAATGAGAGGCTCCTTCACCATCTGCTTCTTCTTCAGCTCGGCGATCATGTCCATTTGCTGCCGCCGGGCTTTCGGGATGGAAGGCTGCACGGGCAGCCCGGAGCGGGATGACACGGAGCCTCCCACCCAAAGGAGATCCTGACCCCCTTTATTGGCATGACCCACTCCACAGTTGCCTCCCACCTGCCAACTTTTTCCGACCAGGCCGCAAGAGCCGTGTCACTCCCCATGACCACAGCCACCCCCGGGTACAGCAGGGTCACGGGCGCCGGGTACCTTCGTGTCCAGCGGTTCCTCGCTGCCGGGGGGGCTCAATTCCGCCTCCTTGGCAGCCGCCTCCTGCTTCTTCCACAGCTCAATGTCCTGCTCCGCTTTCTGGGGAGAGGATTGGGGACTCGCAACTGAGCAGGGACCCGCTGCTGTGACACCTGGACCCCCCCATCCACCTCAGACAGCCCCCTCCTGCTCCAGCCACCCCAGCGGGTGGCAGCAACGAGGCCCCGGCCACAATGGACCCTCCCCGCGTCCCCCAGAAACGCAGCTAGGGCATCCCCTACCTTGTAGGCTTTGATGAAGCGCATAAACATGGGGAAGAAGGTGGTGGGCGGGCTGGTCTTGGGGTTCTCCCCGAAGTACTCCACGGCCGACTCGTAGGCCTCCTGCGGGCAGAGGGCCCGGGCAGCACTGGGCAGCCCCGGCCACCCCGCGCCGGCC